AAAAAAAAAAAAAAAAAAGAAGAAAGAAGATAGTTTAAGAGGACTCTGGGACAACATGAAATGTAACAACATCTGCATTGTAGGGGTACAAGGAGGAGAAGAAAGTAAGCAAGGGACAGAGAACCTGTTTGAAGAAATAACCACAGAAAACTGCCCTAACCTGGTGAAAGAAAAAGCTACAGAAGATCAGGAAGCACAGAGAGTCCCAATTGAGATGACTCCAAGAGACCCACACCAAGACACATCATAATTAAAATGGCAAATGTTAAGGATAAAGAGAATCTTAAGGGCTGCAAGAGAGAGACAATCAGTGACCTACAAGGGAGTACCCATAAAGCTGTCAGTGAATATCTCAACAGAAACATTTCAGACCAGAAGGGAGTGGCATAAAGTTCTCAAGGTAATGAAAAGCAAGAACATGCAACCAAGATTGCTTTATCCAGCAAGTCTATCATTTAAAATTGAAGGTGAAATAAAGAGCTTCAAAAAAAAAAAAAAAAAAAAAAAGCCTGTGTAAAATTTCCATTTCTAATTTAATGTATTTGGAGATAAATTCATTTTTTCTAATACCAGGATTATAATAATTATTCTTTGCATTTTCCTTGTATACATTGCTCATTATTTTATTTTATTTTTTGCTGCAAAAAACTTTATTGTTTCCATTTGGAGAATTCTTCTTTTAATGATTTCTACCTTCCTACCTACAATTTTATTCATCTGCCCTCATTTTCTTTTTGTATGTAATGCCAAGAGGGTTCTCCAAGTCTAGGAAAAATCATAATGTGAGCCAAGGAGAGTGGATTTGTGAGCCGATGGGACAGAGGAGGCAAGCGTGACCCGTCTGGAGGAGGAATTCAGGCCCCAGCCCCGCCCACAGGATATGGGGGAACAGCTCCAACTGGAAAGAGGTACAGAGGGAAAGGCGCAGCGGCCCCATCCTGGCAATACCCAGCTCTGTGGGTAACCTTCCACAGGACGAGGTAGGTTCAAGAAATTTCTCTGAGCCAGTGTAGATTTCTTTATTTCTACATTTTGGGGAACAAAGGTTAAGAAACCTAAAAATAAATATTGGTGCTATCTTTGAAAAATGTAGGCTGTTTGCCTCCGCTCTCTCCTTCCCAGTCCTTTTCATCAATTCATTCTCTTTCTTCTCTGTGGGTGGGAATAAGCCATATCTAAACATCTAAACTGTCAAAGCATAATTGATTTTTTTAGGAATCGATACTGGCTTTTCCCGATGATGCCTGATAGACTAGATTACCTGTCTCTACACAGAACCAGCCAATGCACTCAAAATGGCGATTTTCTGAAGAAGCTGATCATATGCAAAACACCTTCTTTGTCCCATTTTTCATGCTCTCCCAACATTTCATTGTGTCTTCTCTCTTTTCTTCTTGTTTCCCTTCTTCCACTCTGACCAGCTAAATTTTCATCCATAAAAACCATTTAGAGTTTAATGCCTCAAAGCCCTGTATCTATTTAAACTACAATCTCCTTTAAAAAGGAATTTTTCTGGAACCTGAAGACATTCGCTCACTCATTAACAGATGTTGCAGCCCCAGGCTGAGCTTCTCTGGAGTAGGCAGAGGAAGGGAAAGGATTCATGACATGTTCTGTCAGAAGTCAGTAAGCCACCATTCAGCCCTCCTGAGCCCTAAGCAGGTGCTTCTCCCTCTCTTTTGACAATAGCAAAGGTTCCCAAGACCCTGGATGACAGCCCCTGTGTTAGTACTTAGTGGCTCCACTGACAGGTGTTTCTCTGTATATGCAGACAACAGGTGTTTGTCTGGAGCCTCTTGCCAAAAGCCAAAGAACCAGAATAGAAAACAAAGCCCATTTGTGAAAATGATTGCTGTAATTAAGAGCAATGGTAATGCAAACGATGAAAACACACACATACGCCATTTCCCAAATCCTGCGTCCCCTTGATAGAGGAAATGACAGACACGTTGCACACTACAAAGTACTTTTTTCATGTTTCCCCCCTTTTAAAAAAAATTATAGTTGACATACATGCAATGTACTTTTAAATGCTAAAGGTTTTTGGGGGGAGAAATTGAAATGGTTATTAAGCTATCTTTTGAAATCATCCCTCCCAAAGATTCTCATTTAGAAGTTGTATTTGATTGTGCATTTGGGGGTCACAGGGCACTGTATGCTAAAAGAAGACTGCCTTTGAAGAGCTTCTGATTTACTTGGGACCATACATACCCACAAGAAAAGTGAAATGGCTGAGCAGTAATCAAATTGCAATACTTTTGGCTGTGACCTTCATCACAGTTCCATTGTGAGCCCACCCCTCTGGCTCCCAGCAGCAAATTGCCTCAATTACAACCAAGAAAAGTCTTTTTTTTTTTCCCCCCAAATACTAAAGGTAATAAACCATTTATAATTTTAATCAATCTGTAATTTGAATAGATATGTTACTCATAAAGCTTGGTTTTTGTGGAAACCAATATAATAGGCAAAGTAATCAATAAAACTATTGAGTAAATACACTAATCAGGAATAAAGAGGCCCAAAGTTCCAGTCCTGGATCTGTCTCTAGTTGTTTGACCATGGTGCTTTACAACCAAGAAAAGTCTGTTGTTGCTTTTTTAAAAAAACCACCGTATCTTTATTGATTTCAGAGAGAGGAAAGGAGGGGGAGAGAGAGAGATAGAAACATCAATGATGAGAGAGTCATTGATCGGCTGCCTAGCCCGAAACCCGAGCATGTGCCCTGACAGGGAATGGAACCTCGATCTCCTGGATCCTAGGTCAATGCTCAACTGCTGAGCCACGCCCGGCCGGGCAATAAAAGTCTTGATGGTGAAATGCTGTATGCTCCTCAGTCCCTCCCTTAAGGATCAAGCAGTAGCATCAAAGATAGCGCAGATAGCATAGTGGTTTGCATAAAACAAATTCTTTGTTGTTGTTTTTTTTGAATCTGTGAACATGAATTAATCACTCATTTTTCTTTTTTTCAGGAGCTAAGGATCCTCTCACTGCTCTGATCTGAACCAGCTATTGGAATGAAAAGCAAAGGGTGGTGTGGGCCAAAGGAGAGGGCACAGGTAGATCAGAAGTCATAGACATTGTCAGCATGATTTTCATATTATGTATATAGGATCATAATATTCAAAATAAATTATGTGTTGGGTCCCTTTACTCCATTTTAAGTCTCTTGCATATGTTGGTTGCATAGAATCTGAGGAGACAGTTATATAGGTAGTTAAATTCTTGCTGTTGTATATTGTGATTATCTAATAGTTTTTATACTGTGATCACCAAAAGAATAGTCCCGGATTTTTGAGCTAGCAATTTTACAATGTTAAAAATAAAAAAAAAAGGGATGAAACAAAAAAAGGCTGTTTACAAATAATTCTCCTTCAGGAGGCCACAGAAATGAGATGCTGGTATGGGATTTTACAAGTTTTTGGTTAGGCTGAAATCATTTTTTGTACCTCTCAGAAAACTCCTGATCTTAGAAAAAGTATGCAAGGAATATTTTTCTAGAACTTGAAGCCTAAACTTATCTTTAAAAATTTTTTTTAAAACTGAAACAAGACATTCACTTGCTGCTGTTGAAGATATCTTTAAAATTGTGTGTCCTTGCCTCTAACAGTGTGTCGGATTTTGGTCCCCCAAACCCTTTAACAATGAGGAAAAATAAGCATCTTATGATGTGGAAAAGAAAAAACACAGTCTGTGTGGACAGGCTCTCAGACTTAGTCTGAGAAACCAGCTTTGATCAAATTACTTCCTGAACAAATGGCCTTTGACTGGTGGATGAATGAATAGCCCAGGCACCCTGGGTTTCAGCCGCTTCCTATCTGTTTATCGCTGGTACCAGGCTTGGTCTCACTCCTGCTCTCTTCCCCCTCTCAGTTGGCACCAGGAGGATGCGCTAGAAGAGGGCACTGTGCTTCCTTTCTCTCTGTCCCCCCACCCTCATTTTTCTTGAACCAGTGCCCATTTGCTTATGGCCTGTCTCTGATACAAACTGAACGTCCAGAATGCCAGAGCTATTCCAGTAGCAGCAATTCTAATTCACCCTCTTTTTCTCTCAGAGATGAGAAAAGTCTCTAATTCTCCGCCCTTCTTAAGGCTGGAAGTACCGCGAGTCTCCATCTATACTCAGAATGACCTCTCTGGACGCTATGATATGCAACTGTGCCAGAAACAGAACCCGTTACAAAGGATAGAGAGGGCTCTGTTTGGGGAAAGGGATGGTGACATGATCTTTAAAAATGACTTTTGCACTCAGTGTAGCAGCACAAGGAACTGCACCCTCCGTCTGCTGTGGCTAGCCGCAGGCAGAGCAAGGGCTTCTAGGAGTACTTTAAGAGCAGCTATTTCCCCGCTATTGGACATTGTGTGCTCAGATAACTGGGGGCTGCGGTGCTTTGGGAATCGTGCATGGATGTCCCAGAAGCTAGTTGGAAAGCACCTGAGTAGAGTTTTATAGTTGAATTTTCAGTTACTTTTTTTTTTTTAATTGAGTAACTGATTTCATTGAGTCAATTCAGGTCACAGAAACTTTTTTTTTTTTTTAATATACTAGAAAATGTTGCTTTGCTTTCTGACTCCACAGTATAGAGAAGACCAGGTGCCTGAGGCCATTTCAAAACACAGGCCTCCTCAGAGGAAAGTAACAGAACCTGAGAAGAGGAACCTCTAACCTCAGGACCTGCAGAATTCCTAATCACACCATCACCACCCTGCCTGCACACCCCTAGTCTTTGTTTCCTCCTCACAGTCGGCCCTTCCTACCCTCTCAGCCTGCTCAGCGCTTCTTTAGCCACAGGCTATTTGTTGTGTATTTGCTGCCAACTTGGCTGGTGAGAAGCCAGGCCTGGAGGAAATAAGGGGTCCTGGCAAGAACACCCACCGAAGGCCCCAACAGGGCAGGCTCTGGATTCCTCCCACAATACAACTGTGCCTCCGTGAAGAATCGTATGGAACTTGAAGTCACTGATTCACCCGGGACCTGGTTGGCCAAGAGCGGTCCTGCTCTGCGGATACAGCCTCTGAGGGCGTGGCAGGGCGGGAGGAACCCAGAGGGAGGGTCACAGGACCCTTTAGGGTCAGGCTCAAGCCTCTCACTTAGGAGAACATTCTGAAACCTCTGGGCTCTTGCCTGCTTGGATCAAACAGAGAAAATCCATTCTTGTTTTCCACAGTAGACACCTCAGATCAGGCAAACCTCCTAGACGGTGGACACCTCCGGGAGCTGAGATTTGGTGCGACCGAGGCGCTTGGAACAAATGCGCGTCGGAGTCCCCCTGGCAGGGCGGCGCGGCGGGTGGGCTGGAGCGTCTCCGGCTCCGTCTTGCCCTGCCCAGGGCCGCTCACCCTGCCCCACTGCCTGCCTCCTCCTTCCTCAGCCCCAGCTCGGCGCCCCGTCGGAGGGGCCAGGCCCCGGCGGCCCTGCGCTGGGAGCGCTGGTCTCGGGCTCGGGGCTCCGTGGGCCATCAGAGGAAGCTCGTAGCTCCGGAGCTTGTCCTTGCAGCGAAGGGAGGCCGATGCGCGACTTCTCCCTCGCCTCTCCCTCCTTAGGCTCTTGGGTGCCAGCCTGAGGCTTCAGGCTTCGAATGGATTCCTGTCGCTAGGGGCTGGATCGTACCTAAAGCTACAGAAGACTTAGGAGAAATTTACCCCGGCTGCCCGCACGGAGCTAGGGGAGGCCGGGGAAGGAGGCCCGGCTGCTGGGGCTGGGAACGGCGAGCCTGCGGCGGCGGGGCCGCGGCGGGGGGGTCGAGGAGCTGGGGCGAGAGTCCCAGGGGATCGGACCCGGGCTCACGCACGCGCGCACTCGGAGCCTGGCGCCCAGGAGGCGGGTGGGGGTGGGGTGGGTGCGTGAACCTGTTAGTTTGTGGTCCCTTGCCGCTTGGCGAT